GTGCACCTTCTTTGTTCCTTTGCTATATGTTCTTGCAAACCTATAGTGAAGTCCCTCATTCTCCTCTTCAATTATCTCGATACTCAACTCTCTTGTCACTCTCGCCTAGGTCAAACCCTAGGCCCCTCAACTACTATTTTGATAGCCCAAACGGCTTTGTCCTTTTGAACTCTCCGAGTTTCAAGTGATCGTGGAAAAAGAGGGCTACAATGAACGCATTTCACATATTTATACGCAGCACTGTCTTCCCGTCCGTTGGTGCTTTGGTTCCCTTGACATTGTCCGGCAGCGCGGTCCTGAACACCCGGAAGGGTATGACTTAGCCTCTATCTGCATGGCTCCAAGCATACCGTATTCCCCCGGATATAAGACCCCCCCAAAATAGAACACCCCCCCCCCCCCCCCCCCTTCCTCTATAGGGGGTTTTCCATGTGGATTTTTAATTAACAATTTAAACTGAAACATGTTATGATGCGTATTGGATTGTTTGGGGGTGAATTCGCAGAGACAGGGGGTGAATCTGCTGCGCCAGGGGGCGAATTTGCTGTGTCAGGGGGGCGAAATTGGTTGTGTCAGGGGGCGAATTCGCTACGTCAGAGGGCGAATTTGTTGTGTGAGAGGGGAGATTTAGCTGTCAGAGGCGAAAGCGTTGTGACTGGTCGAGGGTTTCCGGCAACGCAGTGAATAACGATTGTTGTTCATTTGGATCGTTGTTCAGTGGTCAAGTGTCATTCCAAATGAACAACGATCCGCTCTCTTGTTGCTCGCCAAAAGCAGACCAGCAAGTTCAGTATTAACAGTTGTGTTCAAAACACTAAAAAACAATTGTGTCATAAGAAAACATTCGAGTACTATATGTTTTTTTCCTTTTAAGACCCCCCCCTCATTTTACAAGGGGATTTACATACCGTCAGCCCCCGTATAGAAGCGCCCCTGGGGGAATAAAAAAACACTGTTTTTTAGGGGGTGTGCTTATAATTGAGGAATTCTATAAGCGACGGCGCTTATAAAATGGCAAAAAGAATATATATTTGTTTTACACCAAATTGTATTGTCAAACATTATATGTTTGTGTGGTTCTAGGCTGTAGTGGGTCACACCATAGGGGGTACACCAGTTTAGGGTTTCATATTTGTACTGTTGTTCCTGTTAGTCACACGATTCCTGTTTCTGATTCTAACATGGTATTACGAGCCTAGGTTCCACCTAGGACCGGAACGTTAGGGCCCACCGTTTCCGCTAGCCGCGCCCTCGTGCGCCGCCTTTTTCCTAGCGCCCTCGTGCGCCTCGTTCCTAGCGTCGCCCCTTCAGGCCCCTCACGGCCCCTCGCGTCGCCCCTTACGGCCTCTCACGGCCCCGTCTTAAGACCCCGCGCTAGCCCTTTAAGGCCCCGCGTCGGCCCCGCGCTAGCCTCTCACGGCCCCCTACGGCCCCGCGCTAGCCCCGAACGGCCCACCTACGGCCCCGCGCTAGCCTCCTACGGCCCCGATTGGCCCCGCGCTAGCCTCGAACGGCCCCGTGTGGCCCCGCGCTAGCCTCGAACGGCCCCGTGTGGCCCCCGCGCTAACCTCCCACGGCCCCGTAAGGCCCCGCGCTAGCCTCCCAAGGCCCCGTCAGGCCCCGCGCTAGCCTCCCACGGCCCCGTCAGCCCCCGCGCTAGCCTCCCACGGCCCCTTCAGGCCCCGCGCTAGCCTCCCACGGCCCCTTAAGGCCCCGCGCTAGCCTCCTACATCACAAAAACCCTATGCCAAGTTTGGTCGAATTTTGATTTCGATTGTCTTCGCGTAAAAAAATCCGTAGCCAATTTGGACCGACGATTGGAGTCATTTGATAGGAGCTCCGAGACACATCTCGCGACAAGGCTTGGCTCGGTTCAAGTTCCAATTTGGCACGCAAGCTTTTCCGGATGACATTCCGACGCAATCCGTTTTGTTGCGAATTCGTGACCAATTTATTCAATACTAAATTCTGTTTTTGTTCATTTTGGATTTTGGGGATTTCAAAATTGCATTTATTATTGCGGTTTACAAGAACCATTATTCAGCATGCTAGCAACAATCAGTCTTAGCACCAGGTCAAATAGCCTACGCATTGGCGGGCCTTGAAAGCGCCCGGTGGGCAAGGACGACATCTCCAAGGTCGCCGTCATCGATGAGGAACTTGTTCGGAAAGACGAACGCACCCATAGCCGGATCGCGGGGGATCCTCCGCTCCACGACAGCAAAATGGATCATCTGTTTGACCTTTTCGCACCACTCCTGGTAGTCTGGCCTGTTCTGCTCTGGCTGGCTACTGATTCGCTTGCGACGCTTATCCTGCAGAAGGGGCCATTCGATCTGCAATGTGGTGTAGTGGGGTTGGGTGGGTGGTTTATGAGGAGGGTAGGTTACGGGTAAATGAGGCAACTGAAAGCGGTGATGCAGTCGTCACTATCTACGTAACTGCAAAGGCCTAATCGACCAGGGATTAGGGTTGAATTACAGGCAAGGGGTTAAGGGGATGAGGCATGGGGGTACAAACACATATCTACATCCTTACCGAAAACAGGCCCCATGCCACCATGCGGCTCTTGAACTTGGTGAACACCGCCCCGCCCCTCTTGAAGGAGATCTTGAACGCATAAGCGAACAAGGGGTTGCTGAAGGGCGTCCCGGTGGCCTTGTCAAAGTGCCAGTTGAGGGCCCACTGTTCTGTTTTTTGGCAGGGAGGGTATGGGTTGGAAAGGGTTTTGGAGAGAAATCAAGTGGGGGGATGAGTGTCAGGGTGAGCCACATCGCACGGTGATATGTAGCTGCCAACTGGCATATGGTAGGGCATATTGTGTTTTCGAGTTGCACATACCATCTCTGTACTCGGCTAGGAGTTGAACGTCATCGAACCAGGTCGTTGGGTGTAGCTCTGTGGCAAGGCTATCCACGAGATGGCTGTAATCAGCAAGGCCCATGCCGGTGTATGTTGCTGGCCTAAGGGTGGAGTTGATAGTTGACCTTGTTGAGGACATCTGGTGGTTGAAGACTCCCATGGTTGACTTGTCATTGTGCAACCACAGCAGCTTCATTGCCTCGAGCCCTTCTGCAGACAAGTGGACAGAGAACGCTTCGAACACTTCCTCCGGTGCAGGGTAGTACTGTATTTTCTCCGGCGGGTTCAGAAACATGAGCTGAGAGCACACTAAGTAGGCTTTGTTCTGCGCAGTGGTGTAAGGTATACAACACGACATGGGAGAGAGAAACCAGCAGTTATGTGGGTGGCCGCGTGACCATGGGATTGTGACTAGCAACACTGTGTGAACTTGCCACGTCACACCCTGCGCCATCCGACACGTCCACCAACAACCCGGCCCATTCTGCCACGTCACACCTCCCTACCACAAGCCACGTCACCCCCCACCCACCTGACACGCCTCGCTTCGTCATGCGCAGTTGTCACGTGTACCTTTTCTAACCGCCACGTCATCCCCAACCCTCACATGCTGCCACGTCACACCCACCTGCATCCGCCACGTCATCCCCAACCCTCACCTTCCGCCACGTCAGACCCTCCTGCATCCGCCACGTCCACCAACCAGCCCCACGTGCCACATCACACCCTCCTGCATCCGCCACGTCCACCAACAACCAGCCCCACGTGCCACGTCACACCCTCCCATCCCATGCCACGTCACCCCCCCACCCACCTGACACGCGTCGCCTCGTCAGTGGCCGCTCCTGTGTACCATTCCAAACCGCCACGTCAGCCCCAACCCTCACATGCTGCCACGTCACACCCTTTTGCATCCGCCAACAACCCGCCCTACTTGCCACGTCACACCCCCACCAAGAGCGACGTCACCCCCCACCCACCTGAAACGCCTCGCTTTGTCATGCGCCGCTCACGTGTACCCTTGTAGGGTGCCACGTCATCCCCAACCCTCACCTTCCCCCACGTCACACCCACCTGCATCCGCCACGTCATCCCCAACCCTCACCTTCCGCCACGTCACACCCTCCTGCATCCGCCACGTCCACCAACCAGCCCCACGTGCCACGTCACACCCTCTTGCATCCGCCACGTCTACCAACAACCAGCCCCACGTGCCATGTCACACCCTCCCATCCCATGCCACGTCACCCCCCCACCCACCTGACACGCGTCGCCTCGTCAGTGGCCGCTCCTGTGTACCATTCCAAACCGCCACGTCAGGCCCAACCCTCACATGCCGCCACGCCACACCCTTTTGCATCCGCCAACAACCCGCCCTACTTGCCACGTCACACCCCCACCAAGAGCGACGTCACCCCCCACCCACCTGAAACGCCTCGCTTTGTCATGCGCCGCTCACGTGTACCCTTGTAGGGTGCCACGTCATCCCCAACCCTCACCTTCCCCCACGTCACACCCACCTGCATCCGCCACGTCTTCCCCAACCCTCACCTTCCGCCACGTCACACCCTCCTGCATCCGCCACGTCCACCAACAACCAGCCCCACGTGCCACGTCACACCCTCCTGCATCTGCCACGTCCACCAACAACCAGCCCCACGTGCCACGTCACACCCTCCCACCCCATGCCACGTCACCCCCCACCCACCTCTCACGCGTCGCCTCGTTACGCGCGGCTCCTGTGTACCATTCCAAACCACCACGACAGCCCCAACCCTCCCATTCTGCCACGCCACACCCTTTTGCATCTGCCAACAACCCGCCCTACTTGCCACGTCACACCCCCCACCAAGAGCCACGTCACCCCCCACCCACCTGAAACGCCTCGCTCCGTCATGCGGCACTCCCTTGCACCCTTTCACACCGCCACGTCATATCCCAACCCTCACCTTTTGCCATGTCACACGCACTTGCATCCGCCACGTTCACCAACAACCCGCCCCACTTGCCACGTCACACCCACCCACCCCATGCCACGTCACCCCCCACCCACCTGATACGCGTCGCCTCGTCACGCGCCGCTCCCGTGTTCCCTTCGAACCCGCCACGTCAGCCCCAACCCCGACCTTGTTGCCACGTCAACCCCAACCCGCCCCATTTGGCCCGCCACATACCGGGAATGGGTTTGTCTCCTGCAACACTAGCACTCGTGCCTTGTCCACGGCGCTCATCGGCGGCGGGGTACCAGCCATAGGCAGGGCTGCCGACCCGCCGGCATAGCTGGCAGGTACTCCACGACGCAGGCCGAGCTGTGCAAACATGGCGTACATCTCAGACCGCAGCGCCTGGAACTCCTCCCGTGTAACAAACTGCTCGTGCTCCTCACTTTCACCTAGGGCACCCATGAGCGGAGGAAAAGGGTGTGAAGAATCCCCCCTCTGGCCAAGGGTATCAACGTCTTCTGCAGCAGTCCCGTGTGCCCTCACACTATCACGCTGGCGGGAAAAGGGGAGCTCAGGGAAGGGATTGGCATAAGTGCCTGCCTGATGCCCGCGCGAAGGACCGGCGATGGGGGAGACCGCCCTGCCCCGGACAGGAGAAGCGTGGAGTTGCCGAATCACCGGGGTCTTCATCGCCCCGTTTCGGCCTCGTTCCTGTCGCTGCTTTCTTGCCTCTCCTTCCGCCAGATGCTTTTCTTGCTGCGGGGCGGCCCTTCTGGCGCAATGCTTGACCGCCCGCCTTGCCACTAGCTTCCTTGGCGCCTCGCGGTGTGTCAACTTCCGCGCCTCCGGCGTTGTCAGCACTACCTGTCATCTGGCGCCTCTTCGCCCGCGTGGTGAGGTCCCCGGGCACGGCGGTGTCATCATCCTCCTCCCCATCGCTCTTCCTTTGCCTACGCCTTCCCCGTCCACCAGAAGGAGGAGAGCCACCGACCAGCCCCACCGACTCGTGCTGTGCCACCTTGTCCTTATCCAGCACGGCTGCAGAAACTTCGACCACGCTCGGCTGGAGCAGCGTCAGATGGTGTTGCGTTGCTGCCTCCTCGGACTCCTTGGTTGCGGCATGCTCGGCGCGAGGATCGCCTCCGTGATTTCCCCCCTGTCGCCGAACCCTCCATCTCCGCCGACGGGAGTGCAAGACTCGCGCTCCCTCGCCCCGGATCTTCGTTGCCGCCAGTGGTGCCGTCTTTACTCGGACCGGGCTCGGTTCTAGCAGAGGCACCATCCGCAGCTTTGTTCACTGTAGAAACACGCTTGCGTGGCGTTGGTTTAGGCCCCTTGTCTGCCGCTTTCTTGCCGGCCTCCTGTTGACCGCGCGCGACCTTTTTTGCCGCCGCTTTTTTCGGCCCAATGCCACGAGTGACGGACGCATTGTTTTTTTTAGCGCCGCCACCACTCTCCCTATCGATTTGTTTAGACGTCCCCCTTGTCGCGTGGCGGCCGGCCTGTTCCTCCTCCATTGCTTGGTTACGTGTTGCACGTGTCATGGTAATCGTAGGAAGAGCAAAGTTGCAAATCGCACGGAAGGGTTGAGCCGGTTTCGAAAGGGTTTTGCTACTGAATCCCACGAAGGCATAATCGGCCGTCTATCACTGTTATGTGTTTACGAAAACAGCCGCTTCAACTAAGTCTGAAATAGTAGCCACTATGCTTCGCGCTAAGGCCAATCTGGAGAGGCGTGTGTCAAGGCAACGAGCAGCGTCAAAGTGTTGGCCCAGGGAGTGACGGAAGCAGGTGGGTGGGGCACGAGGGTGGTTGGGGTGAGTTGCGAGACTAGAGAGAGAAATGTAACCCTATCAGGCTACATTGGACGGTGTACGTGTAGCCACCCTAGCATAAACCCACCTTCCGCTCGATCTCAGCCGCCCAATGGCTGAAGTACCTCTTGGCTGATGACTGTGTTGCGGGGGGAATCGTTTGAGATGCGTCGGCCAATGACGGTTGCCAACACATCAATCACAACAAAGGGTAAACCTGGTGTGAAACCTACAGTGCGAAATTAGTCAAATCCCTGCAAAGTACAGTGTTTTCGGTTGCAAAGTAACAACGCATTTCATCAAACTCTAAGTTGCAACTGGTTTTGTACGGGGTTGGGGTAAGTTAATCGGTGATTCTCACGTCACACACACAACGACCGTCTTGAATTATTACTTAGGAAAGATGTACTGCGCACTTTTAGGCTTTGCCACAATGGTTTAGGGCCAGCGGACGTCATTCTAACACGATTATCAATAATAACAAACGTGAATCCGTTGTGGTATGGTGTTGGATTGTCATCCATTCTTGCACAGACATTACACAAGGTGCTTAGAAGGAGTGGTATGAAGCACAGGCCCAACGCACAAGCGTAGATGCGTTATCGACAGTCATGTTTAGACTGTGCGACGATGCATCGTTCAGGCCTCCGCGTTGCGCGACTTGGTGAATCCGTTGTGGTATGGTGTTGGATTGTCATCCATTCTTGCACAGACATTACACAAGGTGCTTAGAAGGAGTGGTATGAAGCGCAGGCCCAACGCACAAGCGTAGATGCGTAATCGACAGCCATGTTTAGACTGTGCGACGATGCATCGTTCAGGCCTCCGTGTTGCGCGACTTGGTGAATCCGTTGTGGTATGGTGTTGGATTGTCATCCATTCTTGCACAGACATTACACAAGGTGCTTAGAAGGAGTGGTATGAAGCGCAGGCCCAACGCACAAGCGTAGATGCGTTATCGACAGCCATGTTTAGACTGTGCGACGATGCATCGTTCAGGCCTCCGCGTTGCGCGACTTGGTGAATCCGTTGTGGTATGGTGTTGGATTGTCATCCATTCTTGCACAGACATTACACAAGGTGCTTAGAAGGAGTGGTATGAAGCGCAGGCCCAACGCACAAGCATAGATGCGTTATCGACAGCCATGTTTAGACTGTGCGACGATGCATCGTTCAGGCCTCCGCGTTGCGCGACTTGGTGAATCCGTTGTGGTATGGTGTTGGATTGTCATCCATTCTTGCACAGACATTACACAAGGTGCTTAGAAGGAGTGGTATGAAGCGCAGGCCCAACGCACAAGCGTAGATGCGTTATCGACAGCCATCCATTCTTGGATATTCGTTCTTCACGGTGCGGCACGATATATGTATTTGCTCCAAGCACCAATCATACGTTACGGCATGGAGTTACCGGGTAGTTCCCGTATCGTTATCGAGTAAGGATTGTTCAAGAACAGTCCCAAGGATATGAATGTTTACTATTTATGAATGATACGAGTTTCTTGTTAAGTTGTAACTGTACATATGCATTTCCAGGTTTGTTTGACGCCTCTGTAGCTCACCTACGTAATTCCGATTTTGAGGCTATATCGATTCGCGACACAATCAGAGATCCAAACGGATCTCTTCCCGCTCTTCCTCATCCTCCTCGACTCTCACGCACAGTTCATAAACACTTGTTCTAGACTCAATAGGCACGTCCTTCTCGCCTTGCTTGCGAATCACACACACGACCATGAGACTTAAGATCCAGTGCATCTCCCCTGGCCACGTCGTGGTCGCTGTAAACGGGGGCGACACGCCTTGTAGGGAAGACGGCCCGTGCTATGGGCGGTCTGTATCGTGCCTGGTAACGACCACGCGGCTCGACAACGTTAGCCAGTCATATACATTAGCGCGTGCGTCAAGTGCCAGTCGTGCAGTGATACAAGCCGCCCACCACAGTGCGCGCATTGGCGATGATCGTGTAGCTGTCACAGACTTCTTGAACGGGGTAGTTAATGCGTTCACAAGCTTCATCACGGGTAGTAGCTTCATAGGCCAGGTCTCGACTCTACAACGGATCCGTAACTGATGGGCTCTTTACCAGGCGTCGTTTGCGAGTTCTGCAACAGATGGTTCCCCAACGCCCAAGTTTATGGCGGTCATAAGTCACGGCGGACCCCTTGCCAAGGACTATCCGCCGTGGCGAGGCCCACGCGATCTGCACCGACCGCCGGTCTTCACGCTTTGCTATTCGTCCACGACATTCTGTCGGACGCTCCAGCCGCTCTCGGTTCACCTACAGCGTCTAACGCATCCAACGCCGTCAGTGTGAGCCGACCTCCACGCGTTCCTGATGCTCACATTGACGAAACTCCCAACGACGTGAACGAGGGGCCTCCTGAAGATGAACATCAACCACGGCATGGAGCTCCTGCGGCTGAGACGACTGACCATCCTGAGAGCCGGCCCGAAGGGAGTCATGCCGCGCCGCCAACCGTCATCTCCGGACAGAGCAATGCCATGCCCCTCAATCCGCTCGCGTTGAAGCTACTGCATTTCGTCCGGCGCGTGAATGGCGGAATGGGAATGGCCGAGGTTGACATCAACGGCCTGCTTCAGCTAGTCGTAGAGCCCGGCCTTGCGCCTCTTGTGAACTCGGAGCTCCGGAACTGTAAGGATCTGGAGCGGTTCGAGTTGGAGCGCTTGGCAGTGCTCAATCGCGGATGGTCGGTGGCGACCTTCGAGATTGACGGTCATCCACCACAGCGCTTGCTCTTCCAGAACTCAGCCCAGGTAAGCCGACTTTGCATTCAAGGCCGTGAAATGATGATGAGGCACACAGGGTTTGCATGTACTTAGTTATCCTTGTATTAACCGTACACCCACCTTCTCCGCCACGAACCATGCCTCTCCTCTCACCTGCTTTCGCCACCGTACACCAGGCATTCGCTGAAATGTTTGGACATCCCAACAACGCGCCCGGCTTCAAGCTCAAGGCGCGTGTAGATGAGGACCCTGACGCAGGCGGCCGTCGCTATACCACGCCCGAAACAGGAACGTGGTGGAATGATGCTCAGGTAAGGAAAGACCACGTTGCCACCCCAAACCCAATCCTGAGTCATGCATCCATCGCAGCACTCAAGAGCATCTTGAGTGTTAAACCGTGTGTCCGTTGCCGCTTTGTCGTGCATTGCAGGAACACTTCGGTTGGTCCGAAGTTGTGGGGGGGATCATCTTATATTCGGATGTGACGCACATGAGCAACAACGGCCGGAAAAAGGCGTGGCCGCTCATGATGACGCTGGCGAACATCGCCCAGGCCAAGCGATGGGGGAAAGCCGGTCACACACTACTTGCCCTCCTTCCAATCCCCCCATCTGCAATGTCTGCCGTGGAGAAGGTGATGCTCTTCCAGCGTTGCGTCATCACCGTGCTGCAGCCGCTTCTTGATGGCATCGCCAGGTCCGTACTCGGTTTGCATCGTGCTAAGACATCATCTCACCACCTGCATGGTATGCAAACCCTCTCTGTATGTAGCATGGCCCTTTGCCCCTCGTCGTTCCTCCCTAAAAGCCGCAACCTTGAATGCCTGTTGCCACTCACTCCATTCCTTGCAGCGGGTTCCGTCTCAGGGACCCTTTCGGAGATTGGCAAACCGTGCGGCCCCTGCTGTACGCCTGGGTGTGCGACTACCCCGAGAGCGGCAAAATCAGTTGCACACTCTCGCATGGATCGCGGATGCCGTGCAGCATCTGCTATGCTGCAAAGGTGAGGTCACATGCCATCTGCACGCATTCAATTACATTCCCGTTTGTGGCTCGCCTGAGCGAACCCACATAGCTACCACCCTTACCTTTTCTATCCCATCCCTCGGCCCCGTGCTACAACAGGAGCATCTGAGTGCTGTCAAGGCACGGAACACGCCGCGCACGCCTGAACAGCAGCAATGGATCGTTAACGAGGCGGCGGGGACGACAACTAGCCAGGACAACCCGTGCAAGGCCTACTCTACCTACCCTGTTGAGGTGAGTGACCTGTTTCCCCGGCCCATGAGTAGTCTATGCTCTCGCCCGCCCCGTCATGAATTGCCAGATGTGCTCTGCCCCATTGAACTCACCCGACTTGTGGTTTAGATTACCTATCCACTCTCACGTACATCTCTCCTCCATTCCCCACCACATCCCCATTTCCAGTGCGTGCTGTGGAAGTGGGATGTCCCAGGGACCGCGTGGGGCAATCCCTACCTCGTGGTGATGCCTGACATCATGCACCAGGCGGTCCTAGGCATCATGAGCCACATTGTGGCTGTCGTGCGCAAGATGAAGAAGCGGCGTGTGAAGCAGATGGACAGGTCAGTGTTTTGGGGATTGGATTCGTTGCTCCTGGTCACAATTACTCAAACCATAAGTTCTGTCCTATTACTGACCTGTTTCTGCCCTTTTGGCGCCGCTGAACTGATGTGTATGGGCAGGCGCCTGTCTCT